AAAAAAAAAAAAAAAGGGCTGGAGATGTAGCTCAGTGGTATGGCATCCTTGGGTTCCATCTAAAACTAAACAAGGGTGGGGGTGGGGGTGTAGCTCAACAATAAAGAGTGCATCGTTTGCACCAGGCCTTGTGTTCAATCCCAGCACCACAAGCAAACACACACCTCTTTCCTTCCATTTACTGCACCTGTACCTTTTACAAAAACACAAACCTCAGAGTTAAAATGAGCCATCATTCAAATTACTGATGTCATGTACAAAGTTCCAGTTTTAAGAGTTGGGTGGGACTGCAAGATCAGTGACACTTATTTTATGCTTCTAACAAAAAGTTTGTTGCAGCAAATGCAACTTATCTTTCATAAAATAGAAGGTCAGGATCTCAACAGAAAAAACAGTAATACCAACACTGCCATGACATGTTATTGCTAACCCATGTTTGGTGGTCTTGACTACCTAAACCAATAAATAAAATAAATATATTTTTATTCTTGCCTTCATAAAATCAGATTCATGATTCATAAACATTTCCATTCTCAAAATTCAAAGGACTCATTAAAATTAAAGCTTTTCCCACCTTCTCATTGTGAATTATTTTCTTACTAGCAAATATCCTATATATTGTTCTTTTTCTTTTTATAGGATTAGTAAAAGTGTTTTCTTATTATTAAAAATTTTAAACTTTATTTTTTGAGACAAGGTCTCACCATGCAGTTCAGGCTGGCCTTGAATTCACTACTAGCCCAAGATGACCTTGAGCTCCGGGCAATCCATGTGCCTCAGCCTCTCAAGTATTGGGACTACAATGCACCACCACATCCAGCCTGGTAATTAAAATTTTTTAAAAATCCCCTTTCAAAGCCAGGCATGGTGGTGCATGCCTGTAATCCCAGCACTCGGGAGGCTGAGGCAGGAGAATCACTGCGAGTCTGAGACCAGCCTGGACTACTTAGTGAGTTCCAGGTCAGTCTCAGCTACATAGTGAGACCCTGTCTCAAAAAACCAACCAAACAAACAAAAACCCTTTTCAAAATCTAGTTTGAAACCTGGTGTGGTGATGTACACCTGTAGTCACAGTGCTTGGGAGGCTGAGACAGGAGGATTGCCACAAGTTCAAGGCCTGCCTGGGGTATGCAAGCCTGAACTATGTAGCAAGACTGTCTCAAAAACACAAAACAAAACACCAATCTCGTTTGAACTCTCTGAAACAAACACCAACAAACAACGTAGCTATAAAAGACACTTTGGATCCAGGCTCTGTGGTACACGCCTATAATCCAGTATCCTTGGAGGTTGAGGCAGGATTGTAATTTCAAACTCTGCCTGGACAATTTAGAAATTTAGGAAGATGCTGCCTCAAAATAAAAAATAAATAAAGGGATGGGATATAGTTCAGTGCAAAGGCCCTGGGTTCAATCACCAATACTGCCAAATGAACCAATACTCTGGAAAGCCAGGCAGATGCTTCCCAGCTACCTGGAAGGTATAAACAAAGGTGTCAGGGCCAGTCAGGCAACACAGTGAGAGACCTCATTTAAAAAAGGACAAAATATTTTAGAGACTGCTGTGGCTACTTAAATATTATTATCATTATGTTATTGCTACAACTATTAATATTATGCTATTAAGTCAATATTAAGGTTTTCAGGGTGGTGAAGACATTGTGATTATGTAGGAAAGACATGTTAAATATTAGAAGCATTACCATAGTTGCATTGAAAACAAAGGTGGGACTGGGCCCGCCTATAGTGCTGGCTACTTGGGAGGCTATGAATTCTATGCCAGACTGGACAATTTAAGGAGATCTTGTCTTAAAATAAAAGGGCTGGGAGGGCTAAGAGGTAGAGTACTTGTTTAGAATGTGCAAGGTTCTGAGTTTAATCCTCAGTACTACAAATAAAATAAGTAAAAGAGCTAGGGATATAGCTAAGAGGTAGAGTTGATTGTTTAGCATGCTCAAAATTATGGGTTAAATGCCCAGTACCACAAAAACAACAAACAAACCCAAAGTACACACATAGCAAAATGTTAGTCAAATCTGGTATAAGGCTGGAGATTTAGCTCACTGGTGCTGCCTGGCTCGCAAGTGCAAGGTCCCAGTTCAATCTCCATACCAAAAACAAAAACAAAACAAACAAACATGGTGCAAACCTATATTCTCAGCTCTTGGGAGGGTGAGACAAGAGAATTTCAAATTCAAGGCCAGCCTGGACTATACAGGGAGACCCTATCTCAATCTCCCCTCCTCTACCAAGGTTAGTAACGGAGAACCTAATGAAGTACAGTATACAGAAATGTTAATTATATTATTCTATTAATTTTTCTATAATATTTAATTAAAAAAATAAAAACACACCTCAGCACTTGGGAGGCTGAGCCAGGAGGATTCCCTTGAGTTAGAGGCCAGCCTAGACTACATAGTGAGTTCAAGCCTAGCCTGAGCTACACAGCAAGACTGTCTCAAAAAACACAAAATTAAAACGTAGCCAGACCTGGTTCACCATCCCTGTAAACCCAGCACTTCGAAGGCTGAGGCAATAAGACTGTTACAAATTCAAGACCAGCCTGAATTACACAGCAAGACTGTTTCAAAGAATAAATAAATAATTACGGACAAAATAGTTAAAAAATTAAAGCTAGCTTTATCAATAAACACAATAAAGTGGGTTTTCCAAGCCTCAAATTCTAATTCTTTCTTCCTAATAATGTCATGAACATGGACTTTTACACTTAAAAGCAAACACCAACATCAAAAGTATTTCCTATTCATAAGAGCATTCTGAATAGTCATACATAAGTAGTTTGACCAAGTTTAAAAACAGAAATATACTTATGTCAAGATCGTTAATTTCTTCCAGTCAACTATGAGACTTACCTATCTATGTCATCATCTCCAAGTAACAAGGGTGGGAAAGGCAGAGGAGGCAATGTTGAAGTTTTCAGGTGTGGAATAGCAGCTGTTACAGACACTTGAGTCTTCACAGAAATATGTACAGGGGGCTGAGAATTTGCCTGAGAGGATAGAGTAGATGTCCTTGGGTGAGTAGAAGGGGGCAAAGTTGAAGTACTGGGAGTAGGAACCTGACTGAATGTTGGCTGGGGAGGAGGCAGAGGTGGTTGCTGTGGAACAGCTGGTAGCGGAGGCAAAGGCGGTAATGGGGGTGTCTGAGGGGGAGGGGTGGTAGTTGGTAAAGGGGGTGGGGAAATAACTGTGGGGAGAGGTGGAAGGGTCTCCTTTTCTGCTACCTCTGGCTCCTTTGGAGTAACAATCTCCTCCTTCGGTGTTATAGGCTTAGAGTCTTTTGTTCCCTGTACTTTTAAATCTTTCATAATAGGGTGCTTCTCAGAGTTCTCATCCAACTTTACTTTCCCTGTATCTAAAGAATTTTTTACCTCTGTGTTTGGATGTGTTACATTCAGCAGTTCAGTATCTGGGGCACATTTTTCCAATTTTACACTTCTGGGTAACTTTTTAGACTCCAAGACTGAATCCTTAGCCTCCACTGAACTATTCTCTTTTTTAGGCAAAAATATAGGTGAACCCTTGGACTCCTTTCCATCCATTTTTGCTGCTGCTGCAGCAGCAGCTCTTTCCTTCTTTTTTCTACTGAGTTCAGCTCCCAGGCTGGAATTCAATGGAAGCCTGACAGGTGAGATACTGGAATGACGACTGCGTGACCCGGATCTCTTCTTTTTACTATGGGAAGATGAGTGTCTTGAATATGCAGGACTTCTGCTTCTGGACTTCATGGATTTCCTAGTGGAAAAAACAGAAAGTTTAAAATGGACAGACTACTACAACATATGGAGGAAAATAGATCAGTTAACAACTTATAGAACACTGTAACTTTAAACCCATTTTGAGTAATTTATCTAAAAATAGATTAACTGGGCATGGTGGTGCATACCTGTAATCCCACCTGGCACTCTGGGAGGCTGGGGCAAGAAGATCTACAAGTTCAAACCCAGTCTGGCCAACTTAGTAACTTAGGAGATCCTGTCTCAAAAATTAAAACTAAGCCAGGTGTGGAGATGTACACCTGAACACCAGCACTAGGGAGGCTGAGGCACGACTGCTGTGATTCGAGGCCAGCCTGGGCTACGTAGTGAGTTCAAGACCAGCCTTACCTCACTAACATAGTGAGACCTTGTTTAGAAAAACATAAAATTTATAAATAAATAAATAAATAAAATTAAAATTAAAGATAAAATAAAAGGAGCCAGGTTTGGTGGTGCCTGCCTGTAATCCCAACATGTGAGAGGCTGGAGAAAGAGGGCTGATGCTAGTTTGAGGCCAGCCTGGGCTACAAAGTAAGTTCAAGGCCAGTTTGAACTAGAGAGCAAGAGCCTCTCTCTAAAATAAATTAATAATAAAATAAAATAAAATAAAAGGGTTTGTGGGGTAATTCAGTGTGAAGGCCCTGGGTTCAATCCTCAGTACCAAAACAAAACCCCCCAAAACAAAGGGGCCTAAGGAAGCCTGGCTAAATATAATGGACAGGATTCTTGAATAGAAAATAGGTAAAGACTAAGTAACTGGACAAATCATTGGCCTTTAGTTAATAATTATGTATTGGGGGCTGGGGATTTAGCTCATTGGTTCCATCACTTGCCTCGCAAGCTCAAGGTCCCCAGTTGATCCCTAGCACCAAAAACAAAAAACAAAAAAACAAACAAACAAAAATTATGTACTGGTATCAGTTCACTAATGCTAATGAATGGCTGGTCCTACATGCCTATAATCCTGGGTACTCAGGAGGATAAGGCAAGCTGGACAGCTTAGCAAGACTCTATCTCAAAATAAATTAAAAATTAAAAATTAAAAGAACAACATGGGGCCAGGGATTTAGCTCAGTGGTTCTGCTGCCTGCCTTGGAAACACAAGGACCTGAGTTTGATTCCTGGTATCAAAATAAATAAATAAATAAATACATAAACGAACTGGAGATATAGCTGAGTGGCAGAGTGCTTGCTTAGGATGCCCTATACCCTGGGTTAAATCCTCAAAGATGAGAGATGAGAGATATGAGGTGGGGGAGAGATTAAAACACATTTTAATCATATACACTCAAAATTATATACTACTTATTTAATTGAAAGACAATGGATCAATATTCTTTCCCATGTTGGAAAATAGCCACATTCACAATCTTTAATTTCAGAATGTTGGCTTTAATCTTTGATACAGTAAGAAGATGATAAAAAAAGACATACTCTATAGTAAAGGTAGGTTATCAGTTAGGAAGTTAAAGGTAACTAGCATGTTTTACCAAGCCCTAACTTTTTAAAGTAGCAAGCTATTTAACAGGTAGATCCTAGAAAAATGTTGCTCCTTGTAGTCTTAATTTATAAAAAGTTGTGCCATGATAGACAAATCCCTGGTATATAAAAATATCTAAAAGAATGCAAATAAGAAAATGTATTACCGGAATTATTAGAAGTTTTCAAAATATGATAGTTCCTGTTCCTTTTAATATAAAAAGACTTTCCATTAACTTTTTAGGAACTCATAAGCAAGTATTATTGTATGTCCAATTAATTTTCTTCCTAAAGGATGACTTGGAAATAAAATCTGGAAATATATGGGGCAGATTATTCTAACTTAAAACCCCGTCTCTTTTAATTCCTTTTACATTTGATGAACACTTTCCTTAAGCCTCAAGTGAGGTAAAACCCAAAAACAAAGAAGCCCAAAACTTTGACAAAAAAAAAGATGACTGTATAAAGCATAATTTGCCAATTACTGTAAAACAAATTGTTTACATTCCAATTTATCATAATCTCCCTGTAACTTTGATCATTACGACTGACAAGAATCAAAATATTTCAAAAACAAAAAGCATAAAGCCAGGCCTGGTGGCACAAGCTTGTAATTCTAGTACTTGGGAGGCTGAGGCAGGAAGATCCCTGGGAGTTCAAAAAGTAAGTCTGGCTAGTGAAGTCAAGGACGGCCTAAACTACATAGTGAGACTTTATTTCAAAAACGGTAACAGGGCCGGGGATTTAGCTCAGTGGCACCATGCCTGCCTTGCAAGCCCAGGTCCTCAGTTTGATCTCAGGGTACCAAAACATAAAACAAAAACCCCAAACATCAACAACCCAACCAAACAAAAATACTCCATCAGCATATATGTGGTAAGGGAAACAACTCATGTGGTGGCCATACTACACTGTTTGGGGAAATTTATTCCAAAAATTAGACATATAAAATTATTTTTGGAATAGTATTGAAAAACAACAAATGCATAAACATGACAATGTAAGATAATGAAAATAGTTATAGATTTACCAAATATCTACTCACCCCTAAGAAAACTAATACATCTCATAAATATTTGGCTGAAATTATTCTCTGCTTAAATTATAGCTGAAATGAAACATCTCTATCCCAGAGGAAATGCCCCAAATCCTAAACACTAAGTAATGCTAATAGCTACCATGCACTACCAAATAGTTTCTTTCGTCTATTAGCGTGACCGAATCTTCTAAAGGATCTCTGTTACAAACCCTTTGTGTTTAAACAGAAGCTTACTGTAAATAGGACATTTGGGTGGTCATCTACTTGTGGTATTTTTAGCAATACAAATGCTATAGCTGAGATCCACTCAAAAAAGAGGGAGTAGACAAGAAATACATAAATACAGGCCGCAATAGTAATGTGTCTACTAAAATATGCAATTTCTCCCCTGAACTGTAAGGTACCACCCAGTTGGAATGAAATTGCTACTTTTTTTTTTTTTTTTTTTTTTTTTTCTCGGGGAGGGATTGAACTCGGGTCCTAGCGCTTGCAAGGCAGGCCACCGAACCACTGAGCTAAAGCCCCGGCTGAAATTACTACTATTAATCATTGCTTGCTAATTTGGCATATACAGACACTGCATTTTGTGCCAAAGTCTTTTATTTTACTTTATTTTTGGGGTTTTTTGAGACAGGGTCTCACTATATAGTTGAGAATGACCTGGAACTCACTATGTAGCTCAGGCTAGTCTCAAACTCACAGAGATCCTCCTGCCTCAGCCTCCCAAGTGCTGGGATTACAGGCATTCACCCCCACACCTGGCTACAGTCTTTTATTTTTATTTATTTTAGTTTTTGAGACAGGGTCATGCTATGTAGTTCAGGCTGGCCTCAAACTTGTGGAAAACCTCCTGCCTCAGCCTCCAGAATGTTAGGATTACAGGGGTTTGCCACTGTACCCAGTTCCAGTCTTTCAAAATGATACTATTTGTTTCACTGTTCTCTAAAGGACAAAAAAGAATACTATAGATGGGATCTTTATGTTTCTCTAACTACAAAATGCTTGTACTTACTGTCAAGAATTTCAATGAACAAGGAAAAATATGTAATGTACACATATAATCACATAGTACTCTATATAAGCAAATAAAAATGTTCATATATCTCTGGGAATTTATGTAACGTTCATATTTCCATCTCCAATTATTTCTAGATTTACTTTTGCTACTGTTGCACTGGTTTCAATTAGAAAGTAGTGGTTCCATTGGCTGGGCGTGGTGGCACACGCCTGTAATCCCAAGGCACACACCTGTAATCCCAGCACTTGGGAGGCTGAGGCTGGATGACTGCTGTGAGTTTGAGACCAGTCTGGGCTACACAGTGAGTTCCAGGTCAGTCTCAACTACATAGTGAGACCCTGTCTCAAAAAAATGAAGAAAAAAAAAAAAAAAAAAAAAAAAAAAGAAAAAAGAAAGAAAGGAAGTAGTGGTTCCTCAACCCACATAAGAGAACTTCAGGTATGCTATTTTCCTCCAAGGATTCAAAAGGAATTACTGCCAAAACACAGTTCTTAACTGATACTTGCTTCAGTGGTTTTTGCCCTCTCTACTACTAAGCTCTGACAGTAAAAAGTCTTTGAAATGCCTTAATGGAAATACTCTCTCAACAATATTTTGAGAATAGTTCTTAGGCTTCCTTTAAAAACTATGTAATTTTGCTGGGCATGGTAGTACAGGCCTGTAATCCCAGGGGCTGTGGCATGAGGATTGCTGGGTGCTCAAGGCTACCCCGGGTACACAGTGAGTTCAAAGCCAGACTGAATTACCTTGTCTTTAAAAATAATAATAATAAAATACAATTTTACAAAAGATACACTTACAGCTTATGAATTTCACTATATATAATTTTACCCTTCAGCCCTCCAAAAAAAATTGGACACTAGGAAATAGTATACATGCTAAAATATTTAAAATACACTGATTACTGGAAGTAAAATTTGAGATAAACTGAGACAAACTCATGGAGAGAGCAATAGATATGACAATATTAATTGTAGAATCTAGGTTTCAAATACATACTCAGCCCTTGACAGGAGCTTTGCAGTTCAACAAATTTATGCTAGTTTTTGTTTTGTTTTGTTTTGTTTTGGTACCGGGATCAAACTGGTCCTTGTGCTTGCGAGGCAGGCGGCAGAACCACTGAGCTAAATCCCCGGCCCTATGCTAATTTTTGAAGACTTATAATTTTAAGTCAGCAAAAAGTATACCGACATATAAAACACATGGATGGATTTCTTCAAATGAACATCATTTCATTTTTTTTGAAGTTTCAAAAAGTGTTCAACGTTGCAGAATTTACTGAGCAGTACTACATACAAAATACTATGCTATGCACTTCATATTTACTAATTTAATGCTCCCAACAATCCTAGTAGTAGGTAGTTATTCCCATTTCACACATGAAGAAACTTAAGCATGAAGAAATTAAATCATCTGCGAAAGTCACAAAGTAACACTAGAATTCCACTCATGTGTAACTAAAGTTCAAGCTCTGCTTTTGTGAAAAGAAGTGAGTCTAAAAGAAGGCGCAGTTCTTCATTTCCTAGGAATGAGAACACAGTTTTCCAATGGTGAAATTTCAAACTCGCAAAAATTTCACAGTAAAGCAAGTGCTCCCAAGGTAAGTCAATGGAGATGCTGTACAGAAAACCAAATTGTCCTTGGAACCCACTTCTTCTAGACTGTATTGTCAAAAGTAAGACTACAAGGGTTAGAGATTAGCTCACTGTAGAAGTGCCTACCTCTCAAGTGCAAGGTCCTGACCTGAGTTCAGTCCCTGGTACCCAGGAGAAAAAAAAAAAGGCTGCCTGGTATGTTGGGTTTCCACTAAAATGTCTACAAGAAGATAGGACCCTTTTTTAAGTTTTAAGAGAGTAAATTAGGCAATGAATAAACTTATAGCTGTGGGCACTCAGCAGACAGCATAAATGGTAGGATAACAATGGTCCTCAAGATACTACAAATGAAAACTAGGAATTTCTCAAATCTCCAATTAGATCCAATAAAGTTAAGTACTCATACCTAGGTTATTTGTAAAAATTTAAGCTGAAGCAACATGAATTGCTAGAGGAGCTATGGTAACTACAGCAACACCACGCAACGACTAGACAGAAGCATGTTTTATTCTCACACAGCAGTTTACAACCAAAGCTCCCTTTTCTGAAAACGGGAGGTACCTACCTTTAGCGGGTGGAGGCAAATGAAATTCTTACTTCTCAAATTCTGGGTTAAGGAAAGACCAGATTCACCTACGTGCATACCAACAGCAGCCAAGGGTCCTACACAATGATCAACCCTGGTGACTTAAACAAAGTGTCATCGCAACTGCCAGTCCCTCACAACCCACCCAACGAGGTGGACAAGCTTACCTGGGGAGTGGGCTCCGACTCAGAGACCGCTTGCTCAGGAACGGGCTGCTGGACCGCCTTCGACCATAAGGACTGGGTGACCTCCCGCTGTAAGAGCCGCTCCTTTCATAGCTGGACGACCGTCTCCGACTATAAGGACTCACAGACCGCTGCCGTCTACTGTAGGGGCTGGGCGACCGGACGCTGGACTGGTAGGCGGAGGGCTCCTTGTAAGGTGGGCTGATCGACTGCCTTCTGGAGGTGCTTCCAGGACTCTTCTTGTAGGAGTCATAATTGCTAGAGGTGTGCGATCTTGGGGGACTAAGGTCATAATCTTGGCCATAGGAAGCGCCTGACGGGCTGTCATCTTGCTTGGAGCTGTCGGACCATTTCCTGTGGGGACTCCTGGATCTCCGTTTTGGGCTGTCCACGGTTTTGTAACTTTTGGGGGTTTCTCTTTTCCGATGACTTTTACCCCGGTCCTTGTGTCCAGACTTCAGCTCGCGTTCTTTCCGAGTCTTCTCCTTATGGAGTTTGGACGACCTCGACTCCTTGCTGCTGCTTTTGGACAGCTGTGCCTTCCCATAGTCATCATTCTCCTCATGTGAACGCTTGGAACTTCCTGACGTTCGTTCTTTCACCGTTGCCAACTTCCCGGAGACTTCCTGGTTCTTTTCTTTCTCGGTCTGTTTGGTTTTTAGCAAGTCCCGGGACCGTCTGTGCTGGTGGTGACGATGTTTGTGCAGGCGGTCACTCCGATCGGTTCCACGACGTTCATCGTTCTCCCTCCTGTCTAATTTGAAGGCCATGTCGTCGGAGAAGGTGTCTGAGTCGGAGCTGATGTCATCGTACTCCACCAAAGGTTTGATAACCGTGCCCAAGGATGCCGCTTCTGGGGTCACCAACCCCATGTCTTTGGAGTGCTTGGACTTGTGCCGCTTGTGCTTCGACACCAAGCGGTGACGCTCTCTGCTGTTGGAGCTGCCACCTCCCGACGACGGCTGCGAAGTTCCAGAAGCTCCTCCACTCGCGTCCTTCTTGCCCCCATGTCTCTCGGAATTGGGCATTACCTTCGCCCCGGCCCGAAGACGGGGGAAAAAGTTCCCCGGCGCCGCAGGAAGTGCTTGGACTTGTGCCGCTTGTGCTTCGACACCAAGCGGTGACGCTCTCTGCTGTTGGAGCTGCCACCTCCCGACGACGGCTGCGAAGTTCCAGAAGCTCCTCCACTCGCGTCCTTCTTGCCCCCATGTCTCTCGGAATTGGGCATTACCTTCGCCCCGGCCCGAAGACGGGGGAAAAAGTTCCCCGGCGCCGCAGGAAGAGCCACAGAGTTCCTCACGGCGGAGTTGCGCGACCACGTCCTTCCCCACGCCCTGCAGAGCCACTCCTCAGGCCGGGCTGCCTGGAACTCGAAGTAGAAAGCCGGCGGCCCTGGGCTGCGGGGCCGACTCCGGCTCTGGGGCCCTGTGAGCACTGCGAGGGCCCTTCCCCTTCCCGGCGGCCCAGTTCAGGGCAGCTTCCTGTCGTCGGGGGCCCGCGGCCTAGGTGACTCACGCCCCCTTTGTCCCTCGCTCCCGAGGGAGCCCCTTTTTCTAGCCTCGGCCTCACCTCAATACCTCACACACACACTCGCTCCCTCACACACTCAGTCACACACTAGATTAAACCGAAACGGCACTTAGAGGGGGAGGGGCAAGCGCTGAAAAGATCGCGAGACTCTAACTATCGCGATATTTGAGCTCCCCTTTCCCCTCTCCCTTCTATTGGTTCAAACAACGCGAGAACAAGATAGTCGCGAGACACGCGCTCCGCCAAAATCTCGCGATAATATTTCTGTTTTTCCCCAGTTGAGGAAAGCCCTATTGAAACGGAGCTGGCCAAGATTAAAAAAAAAAAAGTTTCATGACCCTAAACCTTATTGAAATGACTGAACAAATATTCCTAGGTCCCAGGTTCCAGTGCAAACACATTTTAGTGTACTTCATATATGAAAGCTTTAACTAGTAGGCCAAGGATTTTTTTTAACAGGGCAAAGTATGAATTGAATGTAGAGACTTTGCGACCTAAGCAAGGCCCCTCAGTATCTAAACAATGCTCCCCGTTTTTAGGGTGTAGACTCCCTGCAAGGCATATTTATTGCATACGTTATGTCTAATCATAGCTAACAGGACACTACAGCCTCACGCCTATTTTACAGATAAGGAATCCCAGTCGCAGAGATGAACAATTTAGGGTAGCAGTATACTCTAGCTAGTAGGTCAACTGAGATTTAAACTCAGGCTGGTACTACAGCATGAGCACTTCCACTGTGAGTCCCTACCTCTCTCACTCCAGATCTAAGAACATGAGAGCACCTTTCCCTTGGAAATGGTCCCATGGCTTTTTTTTTTTTTTTTTTTTTTTTTTTTTACACTGACCTGGAACTCACTATGTAGCCCGGGTTGGTCTCGAACTCACAGCAAACCTCCTGCCTCAGCCTCCGGAGTGCTGGGATTACAGGCGTGCCCAACCACACCCGGCTTGAGAAGGTCCCATGGCTTTTAATGGGTAATTTAGGCTTTTATCTTCACATAAAAGATTATAATTACTAACAAGAAAAAAAAATACTATCTTACATCTAGCCTCTCATTCTTTACTTTTCAAAAGTCCTTCGCACAAATTAATCCATTCCAACCCTGTGGATGGCTGCAATCCTAACACTGCCAGGCCCTTGAAGCAAGAGTATCACAGGTTCTCCAACAGCCCGGGCTCCAGAGTGCTTTCAAAGCCAGTCTGGGCTGCACAATGAAACTCTTTCCCCAAAACAGCTGAAGAAAACAGACAAACAAAAACAAAACTAACCCATTCCATCCTCACAGACCTCTGAAACAGGTTTCTGTAATAAGAAAGCAAAGGCACAGGAAAGGACACTGCCTAAGCTTAATATTTACTTATTTAGTACTGGGGAATTGAACCCAAGGACTGTCTCTTAACTACAACCCCAGCCCTATTTATTTTATTTTTTAAATTTTGAGACAGGACCTTGGCAAATTGTCTTGATAAGGTGGGACTTGAACTTGACAATGCTCAGCCTCTCCTCAGTGCTAGGATTACAGGTGTGTGCCCTGTGCCCACTCCAAGTTCTTTCATTCCTGCTAGTAAATTTACATGTCAGGGAGCTGCTACATGCCTGTAATCCCAGCACTTGGGAGGCTGAAGCAGGAGGATTGCAGTGAATTCTAGGCCAGCCTGGGCTACAGGTAGTGAGTTCAAATCCAGCCTGAACTACATAGTGAGACCCTGTTGCAAAAAATTTTTTTTATATGTGAAGGTTGGGGATGTAGCTCAGTGGTAGAGTACTTGTGCCAGGATCTAAGCTCTCCTCCGTATTATAATAATACCCATTTAAGTAGGCTTTCAAGTAGGATAGCAACAGTATATTCATAACATAAGATACAAAATATTTGCCATAGCAATGATACAGAACCTGGGCCTGGTGGTGCACACTTGTAATCCAAGCACTCTGGGAGGCTGAGACAGGAGGATCTCAATTTCCAGCCCAGATTGGGCAATTTAATGACTTAACAAGATCTTGTCTCACAACAAACAAAAAACAAAAAACAAAGGGCTGTGAATGTATCAGTGCAAAGGTCCTGGGTTCAATTCCCATTGGAGGAGGACAGGAAGAATAAGGGCCAGGAAGAGGGATAGGATTTATGCAGTAAAAAGAAAAAAAGATTTATGCAGTCAAACTGGGCATGGTGGCACATGCCTGTAATCCCAGTACTAGGGAGGCTGAGGCAGGAGGATTGCTGCCTGGGCTACATAGTGAGTTCTAGGGCAGTCTCATGTACATAGTGAGAACCTGTCTCAAAAAAAAAAAAAATTTAGACAGGAAAAAATGAGATCAGTTAATAAACTAGAGACAAGAAAACAGTCTGAAAGTAGAAGGATCCAGTCTCAAATTACTTCCTGAAAATATCCTTGTTTTTGCTCACATGGGTGCCAACAATTTTACCTAAATGTTTGAATCCATAAATATTGGTGGTAAATTAAAGACCTTTTTTTTCCCAATTCAGGCTGGCTTTTATTGGGCGGGGGGAGTCAAACTCAGGACCTTGCACTTGCGAGGCAGGCATGGCACCACTGAGCTGAATCCCTGGTTCGCAAGCCAGCTTTGAACTCAAAGCAATCCTACCTCAGCCTCCCAAACGCTGGGATTACAGCTGTGTTCTATCTTCCGCCCTCCACCCACTATAAAAAGACCATTTTTCATGCAAGCTGGGTTGTTTTTTTTTCAAGCTCTTTTTTTTTTTCTTTTTTCATGTTGGGGGTTGGACCTAAGACCTTGATCATGCTGGGCAAGTGCCCAACACTGAGCCACAACCCCAGTCCTCATGACACTTTTAAATTCTTCTAAGGAAGTAAAACGAATACTATCAAGGAAAAGCAAGTAAAAGGGGTAGAATGAAGGTCTGGAATCTAGGTGTAAAACTCCTTCAGCTTCTGTTGGAGGACCTGGATGTAGTTTCTCACCAACGTTTTCTATGACTAAATGGCACAAGACACATTGTCCACATTAGATGGAGGGACTCACAGCCTCCTTTAAGGACTGGTCTAAATTCACCAAAATTCACATTAATTTTCCCCCATCTTTTATTCTTTTTTTAAAAAACTTTTTCTTTTATATTTTGATACTGGGGAATCGAACTCTGCACCTTGTGCTTGTGAGGAGGCAGGTGGTGGCATCACTGAGCTAAATCGCCGGCCCATATCCCCATCTCTTAAATGAGATCAAGATTTTGATCAGGGTTCTTCCACAGTAAAATGGAAAAGCAAGATGGCAGAGCCAACAGGATGATGTGTCATAGTGTGGAAGAGCTGGGGATGGAGGCACATTCCTGTAGTATAGGCTTAGCTACTAGGGAGGTTAAAGCAGGAGGATTGCAACTTCAAAGCCAATCTTGGTAATATAGTGAGATCTTGTATCCACATAAAAATGAATGATGAAGGAGAAAATGGAATCTAAGCTTTTGTATATGGGGGGTTGAGGGGATGAACAAGATAAAATAAATTTTATTTTGAAAAAATGAATAAATCCGGAAGAACAAAATTAGTCATTGAGATAAAGCAGCAGTAGAAACTTTAATTATCTTGTACTGTTTCTTTGTTTTTGTTTTTTGAGACAGGGTCTCCCTATGTAGTTGAGACTGCCCTGGAACTCGCTATGTAGCCCAGGCTGGTCTCGAACTCACAGCGATCCTCCTGTCTCAGCCTCCTGAGTGCTGGGATCACAGGCGTGCGTGCCCCGCCACACCCGGCTTCTTGTATTGTTTCTTAAAACAGACTACAGACCACTAATGAATAGATGAAGCATTTTTGTTTTTTGTTTTTGAGACAAAGTCTTGCTGTGTTGTAGAAGCTGGCCTTGAATTCCTGGGCTCAAGGAATTCTCTTGCCTTAGCTTCCCAAGTAACTGGGAAGTACAGGTGTGGGTCACCATGCCCAGTTTAAAATTTCAGTGAAGCTTTTCTTGGGTCTGAATCATTGAAGATGTATCTTAAATTTCTATTATGTTTTTCGATTTTCCACATGACTCTTTAAAACCTGTCAGTAGATCAGTTGAACAAATAAACTTGTGAGGTAGCCATGATGGGTATTATTATTATATTAATTGATTGATTGATTGATCGATTTTGGTACCCAGGATCAAACTCCTGACCTTGTGCTTGCGAGGCAGGTGCGGTGCCACTGAGCTAAATCCTTGGCCCATGATGGGTATTATTATTTCTCATGGTGCTGGAGATTTAACCCAGGCCTTCACACTGAGCTAAATCCCCATGGAGACAAAGTCTTACTATGAAGTTCAGGCTGGTTTTGAACTCACTATGTATTCCAGCCTAAACTCCCAGTGATCCCCTCCTGCCTGTACTTCCTGGTGCTGAATGGCAGATGTGTATTCAGTCTCTTATGATTTTCTATTTTGAGAGAAGGTCTTGCCAGATCACTAAGTTGCCCAGGGTGGGTTTGAACTGGTCATCCTCCTGCCTTAGCCTCCCAAAGTGCTGGCATTATAGGCATGTGCCACCACATCTGGCTAGGATGACTATTACCTGCATTTAATAAAGGGTGAAAC